CACACGGTTTTGAATACACGAACCAAAGCCAAAGGGTCCAAGTAGCACTATGGTATATACTTAGACCCCCAAAATATCCTATAAGTGTATACCATAGTGATACGTGGACCCTCTGGGAAATTGAAGCTTTGATAATCCTTCTTACACAACCTTAGCGCCCTTGCACGCGCTTGCGCCGTGCTGGTGTTGGAGCAGGTCCTAAACCTGCAAAGTATGAATGCACGCTGTTAGCCCACGGTCAAGAGGCGGAGGGCTTAGAACACCTCTCATATACATATACGTGATGTGTGTGTATATATATATACATATATGTATGGACTGCAAATACTTACTGTTCCTATTAATTTAAACCCTACACAGCCCCCTGAAACCGTATACCACCCTGTGAGCTAGACCGCTGTCTCTTAGGAACTTTGACTCTCCCTATACCGTAATCCTTTGACTTGGGGCTCTCCTTATACCGTCATCCCCTACCCCCCAAAATAAATCATAAACCCTGGCGCTAAAGCCCTAAAGCCCTAAACCCTGAACTCTAAACCCTAGAGCCCTTAACCCTACAGCCGAAGCAAACCTAGACACCGCACCCTAAGGTCCAAATGGCTCCAAACCCTGCTCTAGACAGCAAATAACCTTAAAGCTCTACATCCGAAAGCCCTAAACTCCGACACTCTCTTTGGCGACGTTTTCCGGTGGCTGCCGGGGTCTCCGTCTTTGCACTGGGCAAATGCGATTGGCAAGTTAGGCGACGCAGAGTTTAGGTTTGACGGCCTGAGGAGCTCCGTTGGTAGGTTTGTGCAGGTGCTTTAGGGTTCCGGGAACATAGAAAGTTTAGTCTAGCTGCTATCGAGTACAAATCCGAGACTTTCCGTCTTAATGAGGGCTATATAAACGCCACTAAGAGTTCATGCCCAGCCCCCAAAAAGCCACTCCTTCAAGCAAGCTAAATCCCGGGTCCTCGAAGTTTCTAGGCGCACACCACCCAAAAAGCGCTGCATTTCGCAGGGGTTCCTTAAAATGCTGGCTTCCTGATTCTGGTGGCTGAGGGACTTTGAGGCTCAGACCCATGGGGCGTAAGATCACCCCCTTTTTGTCCCTAACTTCTACTGGCATGTCCCTAACCCTACGTTAACCCTGAATAACCTACCTTTTTAGGGCTCCTTACGGTGATTTCCTGATATAAGTCCTTAGAAAGGTCGGTTATTCCGGTTTCAGGTAAGGTAGAGCCTATGAGGCTTCAAGGGAAGAGCCTCACAGCCAGGCTCTCATCTCCTTACAAACCTACGCCCCAACATCGACTTTTTCAGACGGTAGTTGCTGAGTTCATAAGCCCCCAAAAGTGTACACTTTTAGTTTAACAGTGGGTCATACGGTTGATGATATAAACCCTGCATTACCCAGAATAAGGAATATACCATGACTCCCATAGTTTAGGGTCCTTAAGGTAATGCAGGATTTATATCATCAACCGTATTATCCCAAAAAGTGTAAAGTGTATCCACTCAGCTACTAACAGATATCCCTACAGGAACCCCAACAACGTGACCCCCTTTCAGGTCTCGGAAAAATCGCTCACAGCAAGATCCCCCCTGAACCCAACGAATAGCAAGGGTATGAGAGACGTACCCCAATGAATGACCAAACCCTAAACCCTAAACCCTAAACCCTAAACCGTCCAAATAAGCGAAAAACTAAAGGAGCACCTATAAGAGTCTAAACGAGCCGTGGAAGGGTGTCTGCCCTGTACGCCTCCCCTGCCTTAATCCGCATTTTCCTGCCAGCCTTAGCTGGTGCAAAAGAGGGTCACACACACAGAGAGTCGCTGTTTTCAGTGTCAATCCCAAAGGCTCCATGTACCTTCATTTTAGGTACGTTGGCCTTAAAGGGGTCCCTATATGGGTGCTTTAAGGCCTGAGTATATACTATATAGGTACATGGAGCCTTAGGGAATGTACTCCGTCGAGGCCTTCAGGCTCGAAATGGGGTGCACAGGATGGGTTGATTAGGTTTCAGACACCCCAATTTCTCGAAGCTATGTCCAAGACTCTAACCCGGCATAGCAAGATGGACAACGGCTTGTTGCCAATGCTCTGCACCAGGAGAGCTAACCGCTTCTATGTACTGCTTGGCTGTGCTCATTCAGAAAGCCTCCCTTCTGCCAAACCCCGAACCCCAAGCCCGAGACTCTGCCCTCCAAACCGTTGCAGCCCCCATGTGGGAATTTCTGAAAATAAGGGACCCTAGTATAGTACCCTAAATAGTAGGATCCTTTTTATAAGGACCCCAAAATAAGGTACCCCTAATTTTCGGAAACTCCCATGTAGAACTTGTATTCGACGCGGACAGGAATGACAAAGAAGCTGCCTGATTACACCGTCTGTCATCGTGCTACAACCTCTACTCTACGTACGGGGTGGCTGATCGCTAAAGGCCACTGAAAACAGGAAGACTGACTGCCTTGTTGTTCCTGCGCGCTTGGCGCAAGTCTTTCGCCGTGAGTGGGCGCACTCGCAAACACCACAACCATCTGAGCCCAGCCCAGGACACCTATATTCGCATGCACGACTCGGATATCGTTTAGCGCAGTCTCCGTCACGATAAGCACCATCATTCGCCGTTCATCATTAACGTCATCATCGCATCGTTCGCCATCCTCGTTGTCAGCAACCGAATTATCATTATCTTTCATCAAAGTCATGAACAGCAGAATTCAACGATCAAGGCACGCAACCCGCCCGAAGCCCTTTGCAGGCCCTCTAGCTCCAGCAATGCAGGTGCCGATATGCATAGTTACATAGTGGAACAGAGTGTGTAAAGGTCTGTGCGCCTACGTGCAAGCATACACGAATACACGCGTACATACGTCCATGCGTGCATATGTACATACACACATACAAGTACAGAAATACGGACATACACACATGCAACCATGCAGAAAAACACACATACAGACATACAGCCATGCAGAAATACATCCATCCATGCATACATACATACGTACATACAAACAATACAGTACTATACAGTACACTACAATACAGACTAGACTTACATACAGAAACACAACATACAGACAAACATACATACATAAATACATCCATGCATACGTACATATACATATGCCCAAATAGTGCCGTGATTCTAACCGAGGACTACGTCGGGCTTATGGTTGAGGATTTTCGAGGCGTCTTTCTGATAAGGATAGAGTTTTGGGGCGATACTTTGCTGCAAACATGAGATCTATGCCACTTGCTATGACTTCCACATAATTGGCTTCTTCAAGTCAGCCACAGCATGTAGCAATGAGCCCTGTGTGCACTCTGGGAACCCTCAGCCCTACGAGGCCCAAGCCCTAACCCCTGGCAAGGACACTCCCAAAGGGTCCAGGTATCATTATGGTACATACTTATAGGGTATTTTGCGGGTCTAAGTATATACCACAATGATACTTGGACCCTTCGTGAATGGAACTCTGAATCCATAAACCCTGATTGCATCAACTCGGCTTCCCAGCGGTGCCGCAAAACAAAGCCTGATACCCTCGTCCCTAGTGTGCAATTTAAAGGGATGCCCCAAAGCAAACAAGAAAACCGGAACTACCACGGGGGAGCAAAGTTGAAACCCTTAACCTTGCATCGAATAGAGGCCTCAAACAAGTAGAATAACGACCAGGGTATTCAACAACCAGTTATTACGACCCCCTTTTTGAGGGATTGGGGTTCAGCGGATACTATTCCAAACTGTTCCGACCCCCATCAACAAGCTGGGCTCATGTTTCCCAAGCCGACGTGAAACTGCCACGAACAGGCGCGAGCTGAGACGTTTTGGCGAGGGCTGATGGCACTGTCGGAATGCTCTTTAGGCTTTCTTTTCGGGAGTTTAGAGTTTGGGGTTTAGCGGGTTTAGCCTTTTAGGATCTTAAAGGATCTAGTGTTCAGGGTCTTAGGCTTCTGAGGGCTAAGGGCTTTGTAGAGGGGGGCTAAGGAGTTTGGAGGGTCTAGTGTTAAGGGTTGTCGGGCGCTTAGGGGCTTAGGGTGCGACTTCGGGGGTGGAACAAGATCCAAACTCGAAGCCCCGATTCGTCCTGGAAGTCGTTGTTGTCTCAACGGGCATAAAATGAAACTATAGCCCTTACAGGAATCCTCACAACCCACCTTACTAAGAGAGGGTGAAACAGAGGCCCCAGAAATTGTAATATCGGTTCCTTAATAATTCCCTATACTTTTTTGGGAGGTTCGTGATTATATTTCTATTATAACCGGCCCAAAACCCTATTCTAATCATAACAAGGCCCCTATATGAGGCACTTGGGGCTGAGAAGGGCAAGGGGCTCGGAGTTGACTGTGAAAATTCGGGGTGCCTTATTTTGGGGCCCTTATAATCAGGATCCTACTATTTAGGGTACTATATTCGGGTCCCCTGAGTTGAGGGCTCAAGAGCTTTGGCAGGCCGAGAGCTACGTTTTTTAATATCGGGTTTTGAGGTGTATACTATGCTATAATTTCAAGAAGGAGCCTTTAGAAAAGTATTGGCAATTATGTGAGCCCCTATGGTATGGGCCTCAAGTTCAGGGTTTGAGATGCAGGGCTTAACGTGGAGTAGACTACTTACTATGTCAGGGTTTGGGACTTCAGTGACCAACAGGCTTAGTAGGCTATGGCTTAAAAGAAGACGCAGCATCTGTAGCGATCACAGAAGAGACTGATGCACGACGTGTTGATACAACAAGAAGTGAGGGAGGTGTCTGGTGATTGATGAGCTTTATCGTGTTTGTCCCAGTGCTACTTAGGTGTCTCTGGCGTATGGGTAAGCCCCTACCCAACTCTTAAACCCAAACCCCTGCAAACATGTAAGCCCTCGTAAACCTGACAAGAAACAACAAAACCCTAACCCCTAAACCCTAAACAACACACTCCTCAAGGCGGATCGTTCAAGCGCCCGCCGCTTCGGCGCAGCTCGCGCGCTTTTCCCCCCCCCCCCCCCCCCGGAACAAGCCTCATTCGCTACCAGGCCTGAAGGTCACTCTGTAGGGGTTCGGGATCTAGAGGTCGGGGTTGCGGGTAAAGTGGGTTTGGGCTGCTCCGTTTTCGGACGGCTGTACTTCAACTTCGACAGAGGGCTTATAATCAGCGGGGATGAAGAGCCTCTCAAGACTTCATGCGCAATGCCTGTTTGGGTATCACCTTCGGTCTTCAAGGACAGCGGCTTCATCCGTTTCGCAAAACCCCAAACCTTAAGGGTAGGTGAGCAGGGAATTCGGGTGCTGGGCTGAAAACTGGTGGGTGGGTTGGGCTTGCCAGACCTATCATGCCAGGTTCAGACTCCAAACCCCCCCAAAAAGCCTTTAATCAAGCCTTGAAGCCCTGGTACTTTGCAGCTTCTGGAGGGACTGCAGGCCACCCGGCCTTCTTATTCAAGTGCTCCGAGCCATCCCACTTGTCCATAGGGGGTGGATTCTTCACGTACCTCAGGTGCAGAGTGCTGTATCGGTGGTTCCAAAAGGCTTACAAACATGCATAGAGGTCTACGTACTATGTCCATTGTAGTTCCTTCTTCTGGTTAACCAGTTTTACGGTTAGGATCCTATGATATAGTTTATGGCGTTAGCCAAAAACAAGGAACTACAATGGAGACTGTAGGTAGGGTTCGCGCTTAGGCTTTGGTTGAGGGTCCATAGCGCAAATGGTGGCCCAGCAACATGTCAAGGATGCCCATGCAAGAAGACACTCAATGGCACAAGACTCGGATGTATGGTTCGGGGCTTCTTAGGTTCTAGCTTTGAGGCGTTCGGATCCCGAAAGAGAGAAATTAAAAGAGCGAGACGGACGGACGGACTGCTGTCACCGGTGCGACAGGTGAGAACCGACTCTTCTGCCAATCGCGCAGTTTCTGCAGCGCCTCTGCAAAATTCCGCACGCCTTGGGTTGTAACCCCTGCCCGACTTTCTACAGCACTCCGCCGAGACCCCAAGCCGCCCCTTAGCCGCCGGCATATTACACATGTCGCACAGGAGCGCGGAGGGCTTGTCCTTCCGAGCAAAGGCTGATTTCTGGTGTGGTTACTGTAGTTTGTGGAGTTGAGGATTTCCACAATTTTGGGCGTATGAGTATTGAGGTTTGGGGGCTTTAGGGCGTAATAAGGGGGTTAAGGCTCAGGGGTTGGGGGGTTGTTGCGAGCTTGTGGGGATATTTTCTCAAGATCAAGGCGTTTGGACGCGGGAGTCCTGCTCAAGTAAGGGCTCCGCTTGCAAGAATCTCCCTGGTGGCTCTACTGAGGTTCTTGAGAGGTAGAGTCCTTGTGAGCTTAGTGCGGACAGTGTACTTAGCAACTACCTTCATTTAAGACATCCCTTAGGGATTACCCTAAACCCTAAACCCCTATCAGGGGTTTTAGGGTGTACAGTAAACCCCATAAAGTTGGAAACTGGAATCAGGCCAGATGGTGCTGGGATTCCCTATACATTACTCTTAGGGATGGAGGCTCTGGGGTTTCCAACTTCTGGGGCTTCTACTGTAATCCTACCCTAAACCCTAAACCCTTATGGTACCTTATAGATTCCTTAAAGGAGCCATTATCGATCCCAAGATTTTTTTTAGGGTGTAGGGCCCGAGGAGCCGAGGGGCTCTGGGGAATTTGAACAGCAGAGGCCGGTGAGGTGGAGGGTCTCATCGCCCCCTGCTTTTGAGACCTCGACTCTGCTAATATGGGTGGTTGTCCAAATTAGCAGATTTTGGGTACCCAAAAGGAACCATAATTTTGACAACCACCCAGATGGAGGTTTTTATACTTTCAAGCGCAGTTGGGTACATTACAGTATATTAATATAGTCACAATAAAGAACCTTAAGGAACTTACACTGGCACCCTGAAGCCATGAAGAGCTGACTCACAAGACATTCAAGGCCCCGTTCTCGAATATCTGTCTGCAGGTAACGCTGTTGAAGTTAATATCCCGATGAAAAGACTTACTCGAGTAGTTCATGTTTAGGTGCTTTCTGATACCTAATCTTAAGCAGAACCCAAGTCAAAACAAGGGACTGGTGTTATACTGTACATGTATCGCTGCCAATTTCTGCCGCTGAATCTTCTTACTACAAGAATGACGCCCCTAGCCCTTGGACCCCTAAGCCCTGAATCGCTTCGGGTAGGCAATCTCAGTGACATAATACTGGACAAGGGTTCTGGATGGTATTATAGTAACTTGATGAGATCAGGACTGTAGGACATGTTCGTGCTAATTATCCATAAGCCCGTAATCATCAAGACCATGAAAAGGCCATCAGCAAGCCATTCTGCCACTCCACGAACCCATCAAAACAAGTCCAAAGCCATCCAAAGCCCCAAGAACCCGTAACGAAACATTCCTGCCCCTTTCATCCCCATACCCTAAATCCCTAAACCCCCTAAGCCCTAAACGTCCTGGGGAACCGCCCCCTCGTCGTACTCACAGAAAACCGAGTTCGCCTGCTCAAAGAGGACCTTCGGCGAGGCACACTCGCGAGGGCATAGCTTAGGGTCTTGCGTTTAAGGCTTAGGGTTGAGGGTTTAGGGTTCTTGGTTTTTTAACGAGTGCATCGGGTTTAGGGTACAGGGCTTCGGAGTATGGCTTTAGGTTTAGCTTAGGGCCTTGCGTTTAAGGCTAAGTTTGGGGTTTCGGGCTTGGCCCTACAACTTCCAATCCTGAGACTGAGATTTCCGAGCATCGGAGAGTAAGCACCTGAAGCTTAATTGAAGCACGCCTGTGCCTACAGAGTTCACGCGCTCTGCGTTGTACACCGTCCTAGGCGAGCTGAGCCCCAAACCCTACTCCCTGCACCATCACACCCTCTACTCGCTCTCAGCCCCAACCCCGCACTCTTGGACCTACTGCCTAAACCCTGCACCCCCAAACCCGCAACTCTATGCTCAGTTCTCAGGCTCGGTGCAGAGTTCACCGAGGACCCAGAGAGCCCAGCACCAATTCAGGAAGCAAGATCTCTCAACAAGAACAATGGTGTCCATACCTTCACGTGCTATTCCCTGAAGGGTGTAATAATCTAATGTAGTGGCCTCAATATTTAGGATAGGGTTTTGGGACCCATGATACTACAATTATAATCAGGACCCCCCCCCCCCCCCCCCAAAAAAAAAAAAAAAAAAGATAGCATTGGTAATTATTTCGGCCCTTGTAGTACTTGGCTCGCTGAGGAAGCTGTTGAGTGGGATCATGCCCCAGGGTCCAACAGCCCCGGCTCTAAGCAGGTGCAGTGAAGGGGGTGCCGGGCGGGCATTAGTAGCGGTTTAAGCTGAAAAAGGAATAATAGTTTGGGGTGTAAGTTGTATTTTAGGTAGAGTTTAGGTTTAGGGTTGTAGGCGTGCGAAGATTTTAGCGGCTTTACTTTCGGCTTTGGGGTTAAGGGGATGCTTATATGGTTGCTTCTGCCACTGGTGTTCAAGGGCTTGACGTGCGTCCTGCAGTTAATGTACGCAGCCCACAGTGCACAGAATCCTCAACACCCTCCCGTAAAGCTGTAACGCCGGTTCGGTCCAGGCAACCACAAGCCCTGCCTCTAGAAATGCCTGCGCAACTTGGCTGATTCAAGCTTCAGGACACTTATCCTAGCCGTGCCAAATAACAGGACCGTAATATCCACAAATATACCCTCGCTTATGCGTATCCTGAACCTGCAAGTCCAGGCTACGACTGAAAAAACAATACTCTTTCTCTGCCAACCTCTGTAGAACCCTGATGAAACCGTACATGAATCCTAACTGAGGCTATGATATGCTGCAGAGTGGGGAAGAAGCCGCAAAACCCTCTTCGAAGCCATAGAGAACCATCAACCCCTGCGAAGACCTTGTCAAACTATATGCACAGCATTCAATAAACAAAAACTGCAACAACCACCCAGCAACAAAACCAGATAAACCCTGCACCGAAGCACCCCAGCATGACATGACTCGCCTTGGCTTCTTCGAAGCGGCCCTCCGAAAAAAGTGTAAAGCCGTTTTCGTGAAACCTCGGAAGTTCATCGATGACTGGCACAAAGCAGGGGCCTTAATACTTAAAGCAGAGTTTGGGTGTATATTCTAGTGCAACTATACTGGGGAACCCTAAGCAGGTGTTACATCACGAAATATTCCAGCCTTTGCATTAAGCTTCCGCTTGGGGGGGGGGGGGAGTGTGTTAGATTGAAATCAACAACGAATCTTTGCTGCGAGCCTACCCTAAACCCTAAACTCTAACTACCTTCTTACGGGAAACCGAGCAACCCTTATTGCCCAGAGGAGCCCATTTCGGTCCTTAGGTGGTGGACGGTGGTAGATGGGAGTTTCCGAAAAATAGGGGCTACCTTATTTGGGGACCCCTATAATCAGGATCCTACTATGTAGGATACTGTATTTGGGTCCCCTATTGTCGGAAACTCCATATGTAGGTCCTCAGCAACATTTGGGGGGGAAGTAAATGTTGCTGAGCAGGCACTTGGCACTTGATGCTTCAGGGTTCAGTCAGCCCTACACCACTGAAACCCACAAACCCTACAACCTCAAACCCGTAAACAATCAAACCCTGAACCCCAACCCCAATACCTCAGTTCTACAAAAGTCCCAAACCGCAACACTCTGAACACCAAAACCCTACACCCCCAAACCCCAATTCCCTATACACCACAACCCTGACCCCCAAAACCATGAAACCCTGAAACCCCAATTCCCAACACCCACAACCTTAAACCCTGAAACCCCAAAATCCTGACCCCCACTACTACTACTACTACTACTACTACTACTACTACTACTACTACTACTACTACTACTACTGCTACTGCTACTGCTACTGCTACTGCTACTACTACTACTACTACTACTACTACTACTACTACTACTTCTACAACTACGACGACTAATACCACTACTACTACTACTACTACTACTACTACTACTACTACTACTACTACTACTACTACTACTACTACTACTGCTACTACTACTACGACGACGACTGCGACTACTACTGCTACTACAGACCCCGAAACCCTGAAAAACCTTAGACGGAGCTCCACTTTCGCCAAGCTGTCCATCTTCTTCGGGGAACTAAAGGATCTTATGCTTGGGGCTTTGGGGTTTGGGGTTTTGATTGAGGTATATAAGCATGTTTTATGAGATAGGGCTCTACTGTACCAACAAGGCTAAGGTTAACTACTCGGATATTGGGTGGTTGTCAAAATTAGGGTTCCTTTTGGGGTCCTTGTCATAATACGGCACCTATTATTTAGGGTACCCAAAAAAGGGACCCTAATTTTGACAACTACCCATATAACGGTTACTTTGCGAATGAACCTTGATCTGGCTTGCCGCGTGCAGGCCGCTTTGGGCCCGAAGGGTCAAGGCTGCCTTACGAAGACCACTGCGAACTGTGGACCAAATACTACTATTTGCTTAAGAACCACCAAAAAATAAAAAATATATTCCTTATGGGGGTAATATGGGGATTATTATTTTTTATTTTTGAGGGGGTTCTTAAGCAACTACTAGAATACCAAACCCAAGACTGCACTAAATCCGAAACCCAAAAGCCCAAACACAGTAAATCTTTAAAGCTCGACCCTACTTCCAGCAGGCCGTGCCCTTCTGAAAGGAGCAGTACCGACGGCGCTGATACTGGATGGTCTGCACCATGAAAGAGACATGAACCTTCAAAGCCACCGCCGCCCAGGAAGCCCATCAATCTGAAAGGGCTCTGCTGTATCATGCATCCAGGCCCGAATATGTTTTTGCATCTTCTGTTACCAAGGTTCCTGATTTTTCCTCCTCCCTTGCCCACCAGCCGTAGAGGCCGCGAAGAAGGCATGTAAGCACACGGGCCAAAGCTCTAGTAGGGTTTAGGGGTTTAGGGTTTATGGGGGGAGAAGGCCCGCACCTAAAAGTGAGTGGAATGCCAGGAAAACCTTGATTCTAAGAGGCCTGTGGCTTGGTCGACAGATCCTTTGAACCCCTGAGCCTTTTGATACTTTTTTAGGTAACGTAAGTACTGATAAATTGAAATTCCTTTGGATTCCTTTTATGAATTAAACGATGATATGCCCCAAAACCCTATTCTGCTTCTCGAGGCTCCTAGATTCGCTGAAGTCACCATCAGGTCTACCTGCCGCCTATCGTAACCCTAAACCCGACGCTGACTGTAGCTATAAGGTGCCTAGTATAGGCGCCTTAACAACCAGTATGGGGTTTCGGGGTGTATTATACTATAATTACAATAAGCAACTGGTAGTTATGGAGGCCGCCATACTAAATAAATCCTGGTAGCAGGCCTTATAGTAGCCCTTATAGATCCCTATTATCCTGTAACTATAAATTAAAAGAAGAAACCCCCAGCATGGTATTGGTAACTATTGAGGCCCCTATACGGGAGTTTCCGAAAATGGGGGGTACCTTATTTCTGGGGGGGGTCCTTATAATAAGAATCCTACTATTTAGGGTACCATATTCGGGTCCCCTACATTTTCGGAAACTCCTATGTTAAAGTATATAGGTGCCTCTGTGGGCCCGAGAAAGTTCCGGGCTGCCGACTCCGCAGCTTGTTCCAAGTCTTGCGGGATGTGGCCTGTGCTTCGTGAGGTGTGGAGGGTTTAGGGTTCAGGATTTGGGGTTTAGGGAGTTTAGGGATTTAGGTTTTAGGTTTCTGGGTTTAGGGTTTAGGGGTTTGCGGTTAGGTTCTGAGGTCCTTTCCTTCGTGGAAAAGAAGCGAAACAGTTGTTCTTAGGTTGTGAGGTTCTTCTCGTCATTTTGGGGTTTTGTGGTTGAGGGCTTTGCATTTCCGGGTCAGAGCTGGAGGGATAGGGGGTTCAGGATCTAGATGGCATGAGGTAGTCCGATTTGATAATCAACCCCGAACCCCAAGGATTTTCAAGAAACAAGCGACTCCACCCACACCCCAAGTAATGCGATCGTTGGTGTAACAAAGTATCCCCGTCTTCAACATGCCATCAGGGATTCTACGGACCCGACTCCCAAATCAGGGTTTGAGGCTTTGGGCCGGTCCGTAGTGGACCAACGTGGACTTCATGCCAAGGCAGAAGAGAAACCGTTTGTATGCAATTTGAAACTATGCATGCATGCATTGCATACGGACTACTAGGCCCAAGAGCAACCTAGGAAGAAAAGGGTGCCCTTTTTGGGCTAAAGGGACTTACAAGGGAACATGAACCCTAAAAAAGGGAATAAGGGCCTACTCTAGGTCCTAGACTTAGACTATGAGTTGATCCTGTTAGCACTTACCTGGGTTGGCCTTTAAACACCCTGAAAAATACTTATATCTAGGGTCCCTTATAAACCCAAATAAGGAAAATACAAAATGGCCCCAAAATCCAACCTAGTTACGCCGTTCGACGCCCTGGCTTCCCCCCCCCCCCCAAGCGGGGGCCTTTTCGGCCAATCACCTCCAACGTATGTGTGGGCATGGTGCGACCTTTCAATACCAACCTCGGCTGTTTCTGGCAGTTTGGGGGCTTGGGTTTCAGCGTTTAGTGTTGGTTTCTTTTAATTTGGGTCCTTGGGTTTTGGGGCTTAGAGTTCAGAAGGGAGCAAGGAAAGCTGTGAGCTGCTGCCCCAACCCCGCATGGATCTTGAAAGTGCAGTGTACTCACCATGTTTGTTACCATACACTATACTCATGGGCACTCTAAGGGAAGCGACTGCAACCATAAACCCTAACCTGTCCACTTGCTAGGTCTTTCCCGAACTGCCTTCGTGCAATATTCCAACCCGACACTAAACCTAGCCAGGCCCTTCGCGCTCTGTTGCGGAAGAAAACTATTGCGGCGCGCTTCCCCTCATCCCGAACACCCCTTAGATTTTGAGTGTCTGGGGATCTGGGTTTGGGGTCTTGGGTTAAGGATCTTGGTTTTGAGGCTTTGGGTTGGAGGGTCTCGGGTTCAAGAGTTCAGGACCTGGGCCCAAAAGCTTGAGGGGTTTGGCATTCAGTTCCGGGGTTTCGATTGTATGGCTTAGGCACACAAAATCATCCAACACCTACGCCAACACACACACACGCACACATCTGGCTATTTGACGATCTATCTATCTACACATATGGGTGGTTAGTACTTCACCTACTATTTAGGGTACCCAAAAAGGGGCCCATAATCTTGACAACTACCCACATTAACATACATACACACACACACACACACACACACACACACACACACATCGCATGACAGAAACTCCAAACCTGGGGTGCCGTGCTTGCCGATGGTCCGGGCCACGAAGAGCTCCCCAATGCTGGACTGCAACGTTTCGGAGCCTCGGGATTTCCGTTTGAGGGCTTTAAGGTTTTAGGGGTCACCTTAACCCCGAAGAGCCTACATGTTTCAGGACTTATATAAAGAAATCATAATAAAGAACCCTAAAAAAGGTAGGTTATTCAGGGTTAAGGCAAGCTTTAGGGTCTTTAGGATGGAACTTGGGTCGACTTTCTAAGGTTTTTGATACAGGCTCTACTTGAAGGCCCATGGGACTTAGTAAGTAAAGTTATAAGTAAGCTATAATTATGATAACCCCACTTAGGGGACGACTTATAACCCCAATAATAACCTACTTACTAAGTCCCATGATCCTCGAAGTATACAGGTCGACAAGAGGTCAAATTTGAACATCCAGCTAGCAGCTACCCTAAGGCTCCAAAGTAGTTCCTTTTGGGGGTTCATATATAGAATCCTAGAAGGTAATCCCAAAAAGGAACTACTATGGAGCCTCTGGGTAGTGTATCTTTTCAGAGTTCTTTAAGGTTCCATGAAGATTCCAGAAGAGCTTCCGTGAGGAAGGGCTCTGCACAACGTTCTATGAGCAACCGCATACAAGTTGCTTCAGGGTCGGATCAGGTGGCTTTGTCGGTTTGGAGGGTTTCTAAGGGTTTGTATCTAGAAGAGCTCCATGAGAGTTTGGCAGGGGGGTTTGAGCCCTCTATCCGCTTTGGAATCGTTTAGAACTCCAAGCTCTGGGGCTCAACGTAGTGTCCTCTGAGAGAGTTTAGACCTCAAGGTAAGTAATCATGCATCACTCTATGATGTGTGTACTTGAAGTACTGGAAGCCATAGGGAAGCGCATGATCCCTGTGCTCAGACTTTGAATCTGCAAAGAAGCGGTCCTTGCACTGGCCCCCCTGGGAAAAACTATCATCCTTTTCACGGCCCCCCTGCCCAAAATTCGGAAACTCAAAACAGAAAACAAAAAATGTTCCTTGGCTTAATCATCTGAGTAGCGTTTCGGGGTATATTATATAGCAAGAACGCTCAAACCCGAGGCCCCACCAAAAACCCTGTCCGGGAACGCTGAACCAGCCATAAACCCCAAACCCGCTCAGCCCGTCTCGCACAGTATAACCCATATATGTATATATATATATATATATATGGAACAATACTGAGTGAAACTCTCTAGAGCAAGGTGCTCCGGAAGTATGAGCACCAAACCCAAGCAGAACCCTGTGAGACCCTTAACAAACCCCGAACAAATCCTTCTCAGACTCGAAGAAGCATTCACAGATCCTTGATCAACACCTGAAAACACTATATCACACACCAAAACCTGCTCGGAAACATGCAAATACTCTTGACCCGCATGTAACAGACCCGTGAAACCTATAGCACTTTTGCCAACAAATCATAGAACCTTAAATCCCGAATTTCATGCAAATCCGTGCAAAGCCCCGAGCGTTGCTGTAAAGCTACATAATAAAAGTTCATCAACAAATGTCAAAACCCCGAACCTTCATTGCAGCCCTAAAGACAACCACGAGCCCCGGACCCCGAACCCAAAAGACCCTATTCACAACAACGCCCTGTAGAAAACGCACCTTTGAACGTAATATCTGGGACTTGGACCTAGGAATTTAGAACAGTGCTTGTGAAATGTTAAAGTCTAGCCATAACGGGGTAATTCGGGAATAGCATTCTTACTGATCCGGACCTATATCCCGTAATTATTCCTGAGCCCGCCAAAAAAAAGACCAGAGTTCGGATCATCCTCTCGACAAAAAATTCGAAAGTTCGGATCATCCTGGGCCCCAGGGCTCACCAACAGCTGCGTGCCATAGCGCGTGTTGAGGCTCTTCAGTCGGGCGGCCCTTTGTCTTCAGAGTTTGGAACCCAAATTCAGGGGGGTTTTCGGGTTCAGAGGTTTAGGGTTTAGGGTTTAAGGGTTTAGGGTTTAGGGTTTAAGGGTTCAGGGTTCAGGGTATAGGGTTTAGGGTTTAGGGTTTCAGGGGTCTTCGGAGTTGAAGGAAGGACCCCTCGAAGAGTGAGGATGTAAGGTCGAGGGGTTAAGGCTCAAAGGGTTGGGAGCCCATGAACCCCTAAACCCTAAACCCTAAAACCTAAACCCTAAACCCTACATGAGATTGAGGGCGTAAGGCGTCGGGCCAGGGGTTGAAGGCTTCGGGCTTCGGGGGCTTGAGGGTTTTAGTAGGGTTCTGGGGGTCTTCAGGTTCTTCTAGGGTTTCTGGGGGTCTTCAGGTTCTTCTAGGGTTTCGGGGGGTCTTCAGGTTCTTCTGGGTTTCGGGAACTTGTAAAATGCTGGAGCACGAGGTTCTTCATGGTTTCGGCTTTGTGTTGTTGATGCTCTTTGCCGGCTGTTCTGCTTGCGAGCTTTTGGCTTAGGATCTCACGGTTTAGATTGGTCTTTGTTTGTAAGATTCTTCTCCGGACTAAGGTGTGGAGTTCGGCGTTCCTTGTTTTAGGGCTTGGGGAGACTACGGATCACGCCGGCTGCGGACCTTTGGCCTTAAACCCTAAACACTGAAAACCATGTGACAAAGGAAATTGTAGTCTATGACACCGGAATTTGGGGCATACCCACAAGCTAGTAGGTATTTGGATCAAGAAGCAAACACCGGACACCTCTAAATTATGATAGATGAATGACACAAGAAAGTGAGAACAACACAGAGGCAGGAACCTGATCAAGAAACCCTGGGCCTATGATGCCAAAAATAGTAGGGTTCATATAAGGAACCCTCATCAAGGCCCAAGGTTTCTTCATCAGGATCCTACATTAGCCGGTCAAACGAGGCGGTCTCTGATTCCAACCTGCCTTTCTGGATTTCATAAGATCCGGGGTACAAGTTTTCATGCTTTACGGCTTGGGGCAAAGCCTTCGTGCGAAAAAAATCTGCGAAACTTCTACACCCACAAACTCTAAACCCTAACCCCTAAACCCTCAAGAAAGAAGTAAATGGAATTTGCACGTCTTTCTGGATTTCAACTCCCTAAGAAGCAAACCCGATCCAGCGCCAGCTGCCCACTTCAGCACTCCAAGCTTTGGGCAGATTGACGCCGTCGCCCAGCAAACCGTACCTCAGAGCGAGACGGGTTTGGGGTTTAGAGGGTAGTGCTTTAAGGTCTTAGTGGTTAGAGTGTACTAGAACTTCTACGGATAAATGGAAGCCCCAAATCCCAAACTCTTGAAGGTTTCCCTATTGCCCCTTGCGCTTGACTGCATATCTCTTACTCCTGGTCCGAAGAGCGTCCTAAAGCACGCTGAAACTCTACTCTCTTGCCCATCTTTTGCGGTGATGGAGTGTGAAGGCCCTACCCCTACTAAGAACCCGAGAAACATTAAGCCCAAAGCTGCGCAGCTTGGTCTATGATTTTGTAGTCTGGGGTCTAGTGACTCACTGCCCATCAAGACCCTTAAACAACTAAAAACTCGAAGCGCGAACCCCTGAACTCCAAACCCGTGAAGCTAAAACCCCCAATGAGGCCCCGGCTTCATCCGCGTCGGCGAGCCAATATTCCCTGCGAGCACCTCCCCCGTGTGGACGCTGCACTGAAGATCTCGGCGCATCGTGAGGTGGCAAAAGGAGGCGTAAATCTATCAGTAGAACATGGATCATTTCCGAGCTCCTTTACAGGGATTGTGAAGGATTCCAGAAGAGCACCTTCACAATGAGACTGGAGGTTTGGGGTATCCGGGTATGCTATACTATAATGATAACTAGCATAATTAGCAGCCCTATCAAAACATAGCTGAGCGAGAGAAAAGGAGAGAGAGAGAGAGAGAGAGAGAGAGAAAGACAGGAGAGAAATAGAGAGAGAGAGATAGAGAAGCTTGCGTAAACAGCAACCTCAGTAAATCCCAAACCCTACTCCTACACTCCCTTTTGTCCGCGACGGGCTGGGTAGCACTTTGGCCCTCCTCTGATCCGCTTGCGGAGATCTCTGGCAGGGGCACCTCTGCCTGCTTTGCGTGTCGCACGTGGGCTTCGAAATCAGGGCCTTGACAAACTAGGTGGCTTCGTCAGTTTTAGACGGCTAGCCGGATATTCCAAAACCCAGTATAGCCTTCAGGAATGTACTTGAAGAGTTTTCTTCTTAAGGAATGTACAAAGGCATTATTCCGTAATTCACGGGGTTTTGAGTCTCTGCGTATCTAGGTATCAGGGCGGCAACCTGTATCCCACCCCCCGCTGCCCCAAGAGGAGCGCAGGGCAGGACTCTTACGACAGCAGATTGCAGGTTTAGGGTTCATGGGTATGACTCTATGACCCTCCCATGATGCTTCGAGGGCTTTTGAGTTTGCCGATGGTGCAGATGCTAGTCGCTGCTATGCTAGTTCATCCTCGATTCCTTTTCAGCTTTCGCCTGGGCGTTAGGGCTGCATCCTTTCAACATTCCGCCACAGAAGCCACCGGATCCAAAACATCACAAAAACATAACAGGGTAGAACAAGGATTTGCAGGCTGGAGGTTTGGGGTTCAGGAAGCTTCTAAGCTCCTTTCGCATTCTGCGTCAGCACTCCCTGCAATCTTCTACCCCGAAACCAGAGGCAACAACAACTCAACAGTAGATCTGTAGATAAGCGGCCCGGATTGCATCAACCATCCTACGTGCAAAGTGCCTATCGCATAATTGAACTGCAGAAGCCCTGTACTCCCTCAGCAGAGCTTAAGTTCAGAACGGATCCCATATTGTGATTAACGAGCATTACAATATGCTTAGTTCGGCGCATCTGTGGGCAGCCCCTATACTAGAGTACCTTTCCAAAAGCCGGGGAGAAAGACGGCACCTGCACTTCCAGTCCGTCACCCCGGAGAAAGCGCACCACTTCCTCTTGTCCTCGCTTACAGGTAATCGTCAGAATCAAAGTCTTAGTCCTGATAGGACGGAGTTAATAAAAGCCCTCAGGGTTAGAAAAGGTGTTAGGATGATGTAGAGAATACGAACCACGCAGACCTCACTTCCCCTTCAACCCAAGGAAAGCGAGACGTTGAGTTCTTCAGACTAGATGCCCTCCGAAGAGTTCAAGGGCTGGAGAGCTGGGAAAACTTGGAAGATGACGATGGAGGCATTCGTTACTTGAAGGCTCATGGGACTTAGTAAGTAAGGTTATAAGTAAGCTATAATTATGATAACCCCACTTAGGGAACTTATAACCCCAATAATAACCTACTTACTAAGTCCCATGATCCTCTAAGTACTTCAACTCCACCTAGACCCTCCATCTACCCCCTATTAGACCCTAAATGCCCCTTATTTGGGACCCTATACCCCTATTTGAGGGTACACGGAGGGTCCTGGCAAATAAGCTACTTTCACTTTTCAAGGACTTCTATGCACTAAGGAGCCTCAAAAACGGTAGGGGCCTGGTAGTCTTATAGGGTCCAGGTTACTATACTGAACTTGGAACCCTAGCAAAAAAATATAATTTTAGCTGTTTCTTAGGGATTATAATAACCATAAATTAAAAAAATCTAAGTACCCCTAAGGTTAGTAGAGTAGAGATTCTCGGTCGGGGTGGGCGGGGGACTGCTCGTGAGCTCTAGGACTCTAAAAATTGGTTCTGCGATGTAAAGGTCGGTGGTTGGCGGTTCAGGGTTTGGGGCAACTGAGCTTGCAGTAAGCAAACCTGAGCCCTAAAACCTCGAATAGTTTTTACGACAGGACGGAACAGCACATGGAACCCTCTGAGACAATAGGATCCTGATTTACATGGACCCTAGATAGTACACCCATACGTCCTGAACACCCATATTCCACGAGCCCTATACCCCAAAATCCCAAAAACCCTAACATCCTACATAAAGTCGTACCGAACTCCTCAAGGACCCTCCTCGAAGACAAGGAAACCCCCTTAAGGTTCAGGGTCTGATACCACTTCGGGGCTGATTTATTGAGCGAGCTGCAGTTTCAGTTTTAGCTTTAAAGTCTAGTAATGTAGGAGTCAAGGGCTTCTTTTGTGCTTTGAGTTTTGGATCTACCTATAGTCTCCATAGTAGTTCCTTTTTGGGATTACCGTTTAGGATTCTCTATATGAGCCCCAAAAAGGAACTACCTTGGAGCCTTAAGGTAGAGCTTGAAAACATGTCGAAGTCCCTGACCCGCCCGTGGAAGACGTGCGCTCCTGCATCCATGGCCTGATCGCGGCCGAGGGCGTCTTTGGTGTTTTGCCCAAAGGGTCCAAGTATCATTTTATGGTAGAGTAATACTAATAATCATAATAGTAATATTAATGGTAACAGTAAATAATAGTAGTAATCAATATGGTATATACGTAGACCCCCCAAAATACCCTATAAGTATAGACTATAATGATACTTGGACCCTTTGGGTTACGGGTTTGAGGGTTCAAGAAGTTGTTCTTACTATCTTCTCTTACACTGTAAAAATTTTCGGTTTTAAAACCCTAGGCTTGATGTGTATAGAGCATGTGGGTCGTGGGGTTTATAACTCTTAGCTGTAACGCTCGCGATGTCAAGTTCACAGTATCTTTTGAAGCTTTCACTGGTTAAAACTTGGCTTCAGGTCCTCGTGATTTGGACTTAGGAATTTGCGGCTTGGAACTCGTGTTTTTGTTGAGGAAATGGGCTAAACATTAGGAACTCAGGGAGTTATTGGGCTTGTAACCATGCCAAACCCAGAATTCTATTAAACTTCGGTTGCTGCAGCGCGCAGCGCAGAGTGCGCATGGAAGGTGATGCTTCCCCTGGATTGCAAGCTGTCGGTCTGCAATATGGGCCGAACCATAACGAGAATGGGGCTTGTGATTTATGGATGAGGTTTGCATGTATGTGTCCATGGCTTCTGTCTTGTATTCTCGCCAAGTCGTGGGCACATACCGTACGAGTCATGATTGACTTATACTAGTAGGTACTGAGATATCTGTAGCTCGTGAAGTCCAACCAGTGAAACCTGAATGCAAGCAATAATGCAAGCCCTCGATTAGTATATGCCCGTTCAGGGAAATGGCTGCTTGATTATATGGACGTATATGGATGAAACACTCCGATACCCTAAACCCTAAACCCTAAACCCCAAACCCCAAAACCTAAGAACTAAGGAGCTCCACACCCTTATACCCTGATGGTGCTTGCCGGCACACGCTGCACCCGTGTCTTTTCCTCATCCTCTGCAGCACGGACGTGACCTTCCTGACGCTGCTGGGTGACTGTCAAGCGTCTCATGGCCGATGCTGGCGGACTTAAGGCCTTGTCCTTCGCGAGACCCCATGCCTCGCCGACACAGTGGTGCACTGTGGCATTACGCAGTGTCGTCAACCTCAGCTATGTGCACATGGGCCCTATAATACTCACTCGTGTCAGGTGTTTTGTACTAATTACTCTCACACGCTTCAGCTGCGTGCTGCTCGAGACACAATACCTCGAGGAGAGCCATGGCCACCTCACGCCCAGCTCTGTTGGAGCTGCTCAGCGCCCGCATAGCCAGAGCGGCAGTCACCTGGCAATTGACGTGCGCGGCACGCCGGGCCTGCTCGGTGTTCTTGGTTATATATGCAGTCCCAAGTGGCTCGCGGACGTCTCGGACGGAAAGTGCATGTCCAGCTTCTTGCAACTTCTGCGCAAATGAAACTGCGAGGGTCTGGTGGGGTCGACCATAAGCATGCCTTTCCCTAGAACGTCATGATCCCTGCCAAGTCGAAACATGCCGCGGAACTGCTCTGGTGCGTAGAGAACGTACGTGCCGGGCTCTGGAGGTCCGCAGGTAAGAAGGCCAAGGCGCTGAGCGTCCTCCCATCCAACGTCTGCAGCACCATCCGTCGTTGCCTCATCTTGGTAGAAGTCGTCCTCCACGAGCTTCACCGTCACTCTCGACAAGCTCCTCGGCTTGCTTGGAGAAAGCAAAACAGTGGCAAGCGACTGTACGCCGTTTGCAGGTCCGGGGCCGCCTGGAGGAGTCGCATAGCCGAAGTGGATGCGCAGAGCGGCTTGCTTGCGTAGTACATTTGCCCCGACTCCTTGCCTGACACCGCTTGCAGCACGGGGCGTGCTATGGCCGGGACGCCTGTGATCACCAAGGGCCGCAGCAGCCGCGGCTTCCGTGCTGTAGGACCGAAGTTCACAGAGAAGACGGGCACTCCTAGAGACCTGGCCATGTCTGTGTCCTCGAGAAGCTCCGGCATGACGGCGAGCATCTCGACAGGGACGAACATGGGCGGGGGGCTTTTCTCCAGGAGCCGGCGGCGCTTCAGGGCTGGCGTAACTGTGACGGGACCAGAGACCAACGCAGCATCTGCCTCATCTTCGATGTCACTTGGATCGTAGTCCACCTCACTTAAGCAGTCTTCAGGCGGAGCGACCACTGCTCCTGCGCTGTCACCTGATTCCACGACATCCTGGGCAAAGGCGAGGTAAATGCCGAGCTTCTGCAAGTGTGCTGCTCGTTCTGGTACAGGAAGCCTCTGCGAACGACTCATTTTGAGAGGACGGATGTTTACATCTTGTTGACCGTGTTGTCTAGAGTCTAGAAATCATGGATACAGGACATTTACAACACAGCAGAGGGACATGTGTTATGCTGATCAACACAAAGACCCCATGGAGCCTGGCGAAGGGCTTCAAGTCCCCGACCAGATTCCTGGGCAGCTTGGTCGGCAAGCCGTTGAGGTACGAGGTCAAGGACTTGGGGTACAGCTTTGCGACGGCTGCCGTCCACTTCTCCACATGAAAGGCTTCGACCCCGAGCAGGACCGCCGGCGGGTCCGCTCCAGGTGTCGCAAGGCCCTCCCAAAAGGAGTCAAGGAGGACGAGGGTGCTCATGTTGTTGGCCACCCCAGCGAGTCTGGGATCAAAAATGTCTTTTTTTTGTGTCAAAATGTCTTTTTTCTGTTGTTGTACATACACATGTCTAGGGTGTGGTTCTAAGGCTTAGGGTTCAGGGGGTTTTGCACGGGTGTCAAGTTTCTAGAGTTCAAGCTTTACGGTTTAGGGTTTAGGGTTTGGGTGTAAGGTTTAGGGTTTAGGGTTCTGGTTTAGGGTTTAGGGTTTGGGTGTAGGGTTTAGGGTTCTGGTTTAGGGTTAAGGACTTGGTTGTAAGGTTGGTTTAGGACTAGGCCTTAGGGTTCAGGATTTACGTTTGGCCGAGACTCCGCCGAGACCCGGCCGAGACCCTTTTTCAGGGTTCGCCAGGGTTTAGGGATTAGGGTTAAGGGCTTACGAGGGTTTAGGGTTTTGGGTTGTGGTCTAGGGTTTAGGATTAGGGTTTCGGTGTAAGGTTTAGGGTTTAGGGTTCTGGTTTAGGGTTTAGGGTTTGGGTGTAGGGTTTAGGGTTTAGGGTTGTGGTTTAGGGTTAAGGACTTGGTTGTAAGGTTTAGGGGTTTAGGGTTAAGGGTTTAGGACATAGGGCTTATAGGGTTCAGGATTTACGCTTGGCCGAGACTCCGCCGTGACGCGGCCGAGACCCTTTTTCAGGGTTCGCCAGGGTTTAGGGATTAGGGATAAGGGCTTAGGAGGGTTTAAGGATTTAGAGTTGAAGCTTTACGGTTTAGGGTTTGGGTGTAAGGTTTAGGGTTTAGGGTTCTGGTTTAGGGTTAAGGGCTTGGTTGTAAGGTTTAGGGGTTTAAGGTTAAGGGTTTAGGACTAGGCCTTAGGGTTCAGGATTTACGCTTGGCCGAGACTCGGCCGTGACCCGTGACCCGGCCGAGACCCGGATTTAGGGTTCGCCAGGGTTTAGGGTGTAGGGTTTTGGGTTGTGGTCTAGGGTTTAGGGTTAGGGTTTGGGTGTAAGGTTTAGGGTTTAGTGTTCTGGTTTAGGGTTTAGGGTTTGGGTGTAAGGTTTAGGGTTGTGGTTTAGGGTTAAGGACTTGGTTGTAAGGTTTAGGGGTTTAGGGTTAAGGCTTTAGGACATAGGGCTTAGGGTTCAGGACTTACGCTTGGCCGAGACTCCGCCGAGACCCGGCCGAGACCCTTTTTCAGGGTTCGCCAGGGTTTAGGGATTAGGGTTAAGGGATTAGGAGGGTTTAGGGTTTTAGAGTTGAAGCTTTACGGTTTAGGGTTTAGGGTTTGGGTGTAAGGTTTAGGGTTTAGGGTTTAGGGTTCTGGTTTAGGGTTTAGGGTTTGGGTGTAGGGTTTAGGGTTGTGGTTTAGGGTTAAGGACTTGGCTGTAAGGTTTAGGGGTTTCGGGTTAAGGGTTTAGGACTAGGCCTTAGGGTTCAGGATTTACGCTTGGCCGAGACTCCGCCGAGACCCGGCCGAGACCCGGATTTAGGGTTCGCCAGGGTTTAGGGATTAGGGTTAAGGGCTTAGGAGGGTTTAGGGTTTTGGGTTGTGGTCTAGGGTTTAGGGTTAGGGTTTCGGTGTAAGGTTTAGGGTTTAGGGTTCTGGTTTAGGGTTTAGGGTTTGGGTGTAGGGTTTAGGGTTTAGGGTTGTGGTTTAGGGTTAAGGACTTGGTTGTAAGGTTTAGGGGTTTAGGGTTAAGGGTTTAGGACATAGGGCTTATAGGGTTCAGGATTTACGCTTGGCCGAGACTCCGCCGTGACGCGGCCGAGACCCTTTTTCAGGGTTCGCCAGGGTTTAGGGATTAGGGATAAGGGCTTAGGAGGGTTTAGGGATTTAGAGTTGAAGCTTTACGGTTTAGGGTTTAGGGTTTGGGTGTAAGGTTTACGGTTTAGGGTTTGGGTGTAAGGTTTAGGGTTTAGGGTTGTGGTTTAGGGTTTGGGCTTTGGGTGTAAGGTTTAGGGTTTAGGGTTCTGGTTTAGGGTTAAGGACTTGGTTGTAAGGTTTAGGGGTTTAAGGTTAAGGGTTTAGGACTAGGCCTTAGGGTTCAGGATTTACGCTTGGCCGAGACTCGGCCGTGACCCGGCCGAGACCCGGATTTAGGGTTCGCCAGGGTTTAGGGTGTAGGGTTTTGGGTTGTGGTCTAGGGTTTAGGGTTAGGGTTTGGGTGTAAGGTTTAGGGTTTAGTGTTCTGGTTTAGGGTTTAGGGTTTGGGTGTAAGGTTTAGGGTTGTGGTTTAGGGTTAAGGACTTGGTTGTAAGGTTTAGGGGTTTAGGGTTAAGGCTTTAGGACATAGGGCTTAGGGTTCAGGATTTACGCTTGGCCGAGACTCCGCCGAGACCCGGCCGAGACCCTTTTTCAGGGTTCGCCAGGGTTTAGGGATTAGGGTTAAGGGCTTAGGAGGGTTTAGGGTTTTAGAGTTGAAGCTTTACGGTTTAGGGTTTAGGGTGTGTGTGTGTGTGTGTGTGTGTGTGTGTGTGTGTGTGTAAGGTTTAGGGTTTAGGGTTCTGGTTTAGGGTTTAGGGTTTGGGTGTAGGGTTTAGGGTTGTGGTTTAAGGTTAAGGACTTGGCTGTAAGGTTTAGGGGTTTAGGGTTAAGGGTTTAGGACATAGGGCTTAGGGTTCAGGATTTACGCTTGGCCGAGACTCGGCCGTGACCCGGCCGAGACTCGGATTTAGGGTTCGCCAGGGTTTAGGGATTAGGGTTAAGGGTTTAGGAGGGTTTAGGGTTTAGGGTTTAGGGTTTAGGGTCGTGGCCCCAGGGTTTCAAGGGGTTTTGCGGGTTGTGGAGTTTAGGGTAGTAGGAATAGGGATTAGGATTTAGAATTTGGAGTTAGCCGAGACTCGGCCGAGACTTGGCCGAGACAAGGATTTAGGGTTTAGGGGGTTTCGGTGTTTCGGGGATTTCGGTGGTTTAGGACGTTCAGGGGGTATAGTGAGTTTAAGGGGGCATATGCAATGTGTGAGCGGGTTTATAATTTGGCCTAGGCCTGAAGTGATGTCCTGTGTCGTAGCCGCACAATGGCCGAGACATGGCCGAGACATTGAAATGTGTGAGCCGAGACATCAAATGAGACATAAAAAAGACATTTTGACACAAAAAAAAAAAGACAAAAAGGATACGCGACCCACCCCAGCCCTAGCGCTCCCCCTTCTTTGAGAAATATGACAAGCGGACACAATAGCTTGGGCCGGTATGTGGGTCGACTGCAGAGCCTATTACTAGTCTTGCTCGTTCCGACTTGTGAATGAACTCGAAGAATCCCGCGCGCCTGCACGTGGCCCGGGCGAGAGGCCTCGTGGACGTGCTCGACCTGAATAACTTGCTCAGGCTCGCTTGCTCGATTCCAGACTGTCCCTATGCGTTTGCTTGGGCAGGTTTTGCTCTGCTTTCCGAAGTTGGCGCTTATATATGTCCTCACGGGACGCTGAATTACGGGACGGAGGCGGGCAAGGCTTTGTACGGCACTGCTAATTACAGGACGGAGGCCTTACGAGCTTTTACGGGACGTTGAATTACGGGACGGAGGCGGACAAGCCTCCGTACGAGATTGGAAATTACGGGACGGAGGCGCTTAGGGGACGAGCCCCTTATACAAGATGCACGGCCCGATGGCGCTTCCTTGCGGCCACTTAATTACGGTGCAACTTAATTACGGTACAGCGCGGACTTCCTTACGGGACGGAAGCACTCGGGACGAGCCTCTTTACGGAACTTCTTTTTACGGGACGGAGGTGCTTACGTGACGAGCCTTTACGGGACGGAGGCGCAGTCCCAATGATGGGAGAGTCCACTCGTATGCTTCGTCCTTCTCTCTGAAAAATCTGCTGACGGGACGTGTTCTTTGCAATTACAAGACGGCCGGAGGCGCTCACGGGACGAGACTCTTGTATTACGGGGCGCTTACGGGACGAGCCGCCTCATACGGGACGATCAATAATTTCCGGATGGACGCGCTTACGGGACGAGCCGGGATGGGGACGGAGGCGCTAGAGGGACGATACGGCTTAACTACTGGTACAGGGCGAAGAGGCTTACCGAACGAGCCTGGTGAGAAACTTCGTTATACGGAACTTTTAAGTACGGAACGCACACATGCGGATGCTTGCGAGATAGGACGAGTGTCCTTACGCGATTCTTAATTGTGGGACGGAAGCGCTTACGGAACGCGTCTGGTGCTCAGATTATTGCGCTACGCACTTCTGACTGACCGAAGTGATGCAGCAAACTGAAAATGCTCTAAACCCGCGAGAAAAATTACTTCGGGTGGCTGGGGTGGGATCCGCTGCACTGGAGCGGCCCGACTGGCGCGGGTCGGGACGCGGCACTGACGCACACCCTAAACCCCAAACCCCAAAACCTAAGAACTAAGGAGCTCCACACCCTTATACCCGGACCTAAACCCTGACACCCTTCCCCCTAAAAACCCAACCCCTACACCCTGAAAGCCCTACAAGCCTATCCCCTGTTCAAACCTGATCCCGGCCTTGTCCAAAGCGGTGTGACCAGAAACTTGTGGGCGACACAGTGAAAGGCCTGACAGGCGCCGCGGCGGTATACAAAACAAACATATGTACATATACTATACACACATTTGTTTGTCTTTTTATACCTAAACTTGGTTCATGCAATGCACATATTGAAAGATCAAAACGCTGTCGTAGATTTAATACTGGAGGGACCAAAGGGGGGCTATTATCAGAAATTCTTCCGGTCTCTGACCTGCATTAGGGAGGAGAGCTTCGTATTTCATGAACACAGCTCAGGGTTACGGCTTTAGGGAGGAGGGTTAAAGGAACTGATGTTCTTTAGGTGGGGCGCTTTTCTAAGGTGTAGAAAGTTCGTGTTTTGGAGCTTGATCGTTTGTTCGAAAGACTCTGGGTTTGGGGCTGTAGGATTGCAGGTATAGAGCGAGGGAATGCTTGCACAAATATGAGAGGTGATAATAGCGTTAATGCCGAGTCACTGCTCATCCTCATCAACAACGTCATCAACAGCAACAACACGAAGAAGACGAAGCTGAAGACTTACGCAACACGCATGGCAGCGTCCAGGTCATAAACTAGCATCTTGGCACCTTCTACATGCTGGCCGGGGTTGATACTGAAACATCGCGTGCCCTGCGCATGACCACGCATGCAGTGGATACCCCACGGCAGGTGAAGCCCGAGCGACAGAAGGAGACAACTAACACGCTCCTTCGCCAACCAAGTCCTTTCGCACGGCACGGACGAACTGGATGTCAATCGCAAATACTTAGTGTTTGTGTTTCTCCTTGTGCTTCGTGCCAGGCTCAAAACGATCATGGATTTCCAGCTGCGAAAGCCATCTTACAGCTGACTTCGCTGATGACGAACCTTCTTGAAAAGCCTAAACGACTACTACCATCAGGAAGGAGAGGAGAAAGATCTTCTGAGTGAAACCCCCCTAAATTTCTAAGAAGCTCCAACCACCAAAGCAAATGCAAAAGGGAGTAATCACTTGAACTCAACATCGTTGAACCTGGGTGTAAGGCTGGCCTTGTGTGGCCAGCCAGCGGCAAACAGCAACACCTCGCTCTCAGATCGGAGCAGTAATGATCACCATCCTACTCATCAGCATCGGGCTACGTATTGCCAGCCACCTTAACAATACGAATGCATCATCAGAAAAGCCAGCTATGCAAAGAGCAACCATAAACATGATTCAGAAGTTGTCGGCTTAGCTTTGTGCAAGAGCCTGAAGTTGGTCCAAACGAGTCCAAACACCTTGAAACATGGGCGAATCATGGACTACAGCGGAAAAACTGGAACCTAAAGACGTCCAGAGGCCCCAAAACCAGTAAGCCCTAAACACCGTGAACACTGCCTGTATAAACCCTGAAAGCCCTAGGTGTAGAAGCCCGAACACTAGACCTAAAGGCCCTCCAACCTCGACCACAACACTCTGGAGCACGGAAGCTGGTACAAGTAATACAGGGCTTCGAATGAGTAAGCCAAGAGGTGATGTATGGGATTTTGTTGACCATGGATGAAGCTTCAGACGATTGCGTCGAGTTCATCAAGCAACGAACCTGTTCTCGGCCTAAAAATGTGAGGTCATAGGCCACTCCATCGCCCTTCCTGCAGATAAAGCCGGGCCCATGCATGGTCCTCAAGTCGTGAAGAAGCTCCTGTCGAGCCCATTTGCGACTGTCTTCTTGATCACCTGGTGCTTCTGCTCATGAAGCACATGAGCCGGGTTGACTTCCGAAAGAAGCTGCCCAAATGCAGGGCCATGTGATTCTTGAGGACCCAGACCTGCTCTGCGTATGTCTGCAGCAGTCGTGCAGGACGTGCGGGCCCCTCTTGCGCTCCCCATCAACTGGAGAGCTTGGAAACATAACGGATTCCTTCCAGGGGTTCGAAAAGGCTGCAATAGTCTGCAATATTGGGGGTTCTAGGCTTTTTGTGGAAAGGTTTTTCCGTCTTGCGTCAATAGAGGCTGCAGGGTTTAGAGATTGGGCCTCCTAATTTTAGCACTTGCACACAGTCATGCCACAATATCAGAACCCTAGTCTGATCGGGTTTAGGGTTTAGGGTTTCGGGGTTTTGGGGTTTAGGGGTTTAGGGGTTTAGGGGTTTGGGGTTTAGGGGTTTAGGGGTTTGGGGTTTAGGGTTTAGGGGTTTAGGGTTTCGGGGTTTGGGGTTTAGGGTTTAAGGCTTTCCTTATTAGGTTGCTTGCTCAAGCTCAACCGAAGCATGTACGGAAGGACCCTAAACTGCCCCAAACCTCCTGGTTCCTGCAGCCACCTAAACCCACCCTACACCCCAAAAAGCAACCGAAGCCACTCAAAACCTAGAGTTCCACGGGTCTGGTCGCGAAGCTTCACCTACATGGAAGCTAAGCTCCAGTTGGGTGGTTCTCTAAATTAGGGTCCCTTCTTGGGCACCCTAAATATTAGGTGCCGTACTATAATAGGGACCCAACAAGGGACCATAATTTTGACAACTACCCAGTTAGAGAATTGAATGCCGTAAGCCTTGCACAGCCCAATTCCAACTCGACGATGACAATGGGGCAGCGGCTTCCACCCATGGCAGCAAAATGCCCTGCGTCACCTTGGGTGGATCAGGCTCACGATCAAAAACTCCGGACCACAACCGAGCTACATCTATGCATCGATCCATCCATTTGACCGATGGCCAGTGTATGTCTGAACCGCGAGAACCGAGCAATCGACAACATGGGGTTGCCTCGAGAATCTATGGGCTCGGTCTTCCCCGGAATGACCCCTACTGCCCTATTCCTTACTTGTCGAGTACCAAGGGGCAGCTACAAGTTGTGGGAATACATAGGGGTTATCGTACCCCAGAAAATAACAGGCCACCTACCCTATTCCTAAGACTTCTAGCAATCTTCTTTTCAACTCTTCGTGGCCGCCCCTAAGCATAAGGTGCCTTCATCAAACCTGGGGTTTAGTTCTTCGGGCCTTAAGGCTCAGGTTAGGGAGTGCTCATTCAAATATTCTCATGAAATCCTGAACTCCTAGAATCCCTACCCCTTGTGCCACACCCCCAACCTTCGGAACCTTCTCGCTCTGAATATGGGAACCCTTCGGCCCTGATACCATGAATCTCTGGAAACCTAAATCCGACGCCCTCCAATGTTGCAAACCTTTCAGTCGCAAAAAAAAAGAAACATAGAGCTCACACACTCCCCTAATCCTGAGACGGACATGGGAAAATTTCCGAAAATAGGGGACCCGAATATAGGTACCCTAAAACCCGAAATAGTAGGATCCTTAGTATAAGGACCCCAAAATAAGGTACCCCCAATTTTCGGAAACTCCCAAATGCTCCCATGACCGAAAATCAAGATCATAAGCCATGCCTGGACTTTCCGACACCCCCCACAATTGCGAAATGAGCTACGTGGTTTGGGGTTTAGGGTTCAGGGTTTAGGGGGAGTTCCAGACAAAAACGGTACCAAGAAAATTTGGACCCTGACTGCTACTATCCTGAGCATACAAAAAAGATGGGACCATTATCTTAAGGAGCCTGCAGAAACACCAAACTTCCCTCCATAAGAAGTCTTCTTGAAATCCCTGAACCTCAAGTGGTGAAACATCTTTCAAACCCTACAAAACGCCGCTCTAAAGTGCAGAAAACCCCTCAACCCCACAAAGTTTCGAAAACCACCAAAAAAAAACCTTAAACTCTCAACCCTGAACCCCTGAATGCCTCTATAAACCCTAAAGCCTCGAGAGTTCAGCCAACCCCCAACCCCCGACCCCCCAACCCCCCAACCACCAACCCCCCCCAATCCCCCAACTCGGCTGGGGGCTCCGGCAGTCCCAGGCATTCCGCGCGAAGAGGTCCGCCCGGAGCTCGAGGAGCGCCTCGCCGTCTCTTGTAACCACGGTTTACCTTTAAAGGGTCCTATTCTACAGGGATTAGGGTCCCTTTAAAGGGGTCCTTAAAGGGGTTCCATAAGGCCTCGCCGTCTCTTGTAAAAATAGGGGGGGTTTAGGGCTTTGGGGCTTTAGGGTTTTAGGGGTTTAGGGCTTTAGGGGGTTTAGGGTTTTAGGGGTTTAGGGTTTATAAGGGCTTTAAGGTTTTAGGGTTTTAGGGTTTAGGGCTTTAGGGGTTTAGGGGTTTAGGGCTTTAGGGTTTTAGGGGTTTAGGGGCTTAGGGTTTTGGATTCCAGGGTTTAGGATTTAGGGTTTCCGCGCCGTCTCTTCAGTAACAAGGAACCCCTAGGAACCCTAAGATCCCCTAAAGGAGCCCTTAAAGCAACCGCATTCCCTGTTAAAGGGGTTCTATAAGGGATCAATAAAAAAAGGGTTCTATGTCTGGTTCTTAGTAGGGATTGGGGGTCCTTTAAAGGGTCCTATTCTACAGGGACAGGGATTAGGGTCCCTTTAAAGGGGATCTATAACAGGGTTCTATCTTAGTAGGGGCCTTAAGCCCTAAACGAGGGTCCTTCAAGGGATCTTGGAAGCCAGACAGTTGGAACATGGTCTTAGGAGAATTCGTGCTAGGATGCCCTTCACCTTAAGGGCATGAGGATAATGATGTTCCAACTTTCCGGCTGCTACCGTAGGGACTTGGATCCCTATAGTAGTCCCTACACAATCCCCAGTAATCGTCTCCATAATCCATTCCCCAGACAGTCTTGTACTAGACCTAAGAGTAACCCAGGAATGAAAAGGGTGCCTTTTTTGGTTTAAAGGGGGTTATAAGGGAGCCTAAACCCTAAAAAAAGGGAATAAGGGCCTACTCTAGGTCCTAGTGTAGGGGCCGTATGCTTCAGGGATCTATCCTGAGGGAGCAAAATACAGGGGCCTTGGGAGGTAGAGTGGGGTTCTGGAATTCGAGAGCCCCGACAGAGGATTCATTAAAAGCTTGATATGGGAGTTTCTGAAGATCAGGGGTACCTTATTTTGGGGTCCCTATAATAAGGATCCTACTATTTAGGGCACTATATTAATAGGGTCCCCTATTTTCGGAAACTCCCATATTCAGGTGCTTGGGTTTCATGGTTTAGGGTTTAGGGTCTCATGCGCGGTGTGGTTTCGCATTCGACCCAGACGGTTGGAAAGTCGTTGAAGCCCAGAAGGGATCAAAGGGCACTTCGCGAGGCTCCCTGAGCATTCCTAAGCCCTAAAGTCTACAAGATTGCAAAAAAAACCTTTCACAACCCTGAAATCTTAAATGTAGAATACCATAAGAAGGATATGAAGCCATTGGCAAGGCTCTGGCAACTCAGACCAAATTCCTCAGCAAGACGAACCAATTTTATCCGATTGTAGTCTCTCCATCTTCATATGTTCATACAGTTTACTGTTCTGAGGGGTGTTTTCCAGAACGTAGTTTCAGATACCACCATAGGGGCAAAGACTGCAGAATATGCTTGGCTTCTTACGGTGACTTTGACTGCGGTCCTCAACGAGAAACCCTTCACACAGAAGCATGGAAGCCGAACCCCAAAGCACCAGCAACGTCCAGCTGGCTGGGCCTCACAGGCCTCCAAATGCCCACCATAACCTGGCGATGTGCGAGTTTCCGATAATTAGGGGTACCTTATTTTGGGGGTCCTTAGAATAAGGATCCTAGTATTTAGGGTACTATATTAGTGTCCCCTGTTTTCGGACTCTCCCATGTAGAGCGCAGGGCTTAGAAAAATGTTGGACCTTCGTCCTTCTTCAAGCCTTCCAAACACGTAGACACAAGCCTACTGTAGGGACATTATAAGGCTTGGGGAAATACTACAGCACCAAGATCGGGACTGCAAGGGGACATTATTGCTGCATTCTTCACTGTTTACAGTACGCGGTTCAGAACTCCGGGCCAGGCGACTCGAGATTGAAGCATTCGGCTGGGTTGCAGCTAGACTGAAAGTCCCAAAACCTCCGGTCCTACGCCCAAAGCCCAGCCTAAGCACCCAGACCTCTGTGCCACAAAGCAACTAGCAAGCATCAGCATGGTACCGCCATTCGTGGTGCGTAAGTTCACGAAGGCTCTCCTGACATCAGTTTTCGGGCTCGGGGCTGGAGGGGGGGGGGGGTTGGAGTTACTCGGAGGATCCAGGGAACTTGGTGTGTAGGCTGCGAGTAGAGTGTGTTAGAATTACTTGATTAGTGTGATCAGGTGTATTACGACGATACCTCTACTTCAAATTGCGCTTGGCGTTTAGGGTCCGGGTTGAGGGCTCAGAGTTAAGGCGTCGTGGTCGGAGTTACTTCTGCCCGGAGAAATCCCGTACTGAGTAGGATGAGGCCGCCGATACGGGTTAGGGTATGGGCCATCGAGAATCTCCAGGAAGAAATCATCACCGCCTGGTGACAACTTAAACCCGAAGACCTTACACGCCCTAAACCCCACTCAGCCCTAAGCCCCGAACGTTCGTACACCCGAAACCCTCGAATCCAGAATCCTAGAAGCCTACTACTACATACAACTACGAGCCCCAAAGCCGCAAGGACCTTGGGGGCTTTATGGCATCAATAAATTTAAGCTACAGAGCAAGTGACACCACACGACAACCGGCAGGATTACCATGAGTGTCGGCTAGGGAAGCGACACGCTCAAGTCAGTGTCGGCCAGGCGGTATCAGAGTTCTATCAAAGTTCCTTAAGTCTTTCATAAAGGTCTTCAGAAGGCTCCAGGAGGCCCACAGGATGCAAAGAGCTCCGGTAAGTCGCCCTCACATGTAATGTAAGGTCCCAGGATCTGCACTTCTTGCGACTTGATAGGACCCGATAAAAAGACCGAACAGCAGGGCCTGAAGAATTGACAACAAGCTTTTCGGGCTCTTTCATCTTACTGCAGCTATATAGGGACTATAGGAGGATGCTGTCTTTCCGTATTCAGACTTTGATTGACATTACGTCGCTCCATGCCGGGGCACTTCCGCTTTAAATGTCGCGAGGCAGGAGCGCTAATCTCTTCAACGACGCCAAAGGTTCAGAGCTCAGTCTTTCAGGATAGCAGAACAGAACGCTTTCGACATACAGTGCTCCAGCACAAGACTACGCAACTCAAAACCGAGACGTGCCCCGGTATAAAGCGCCCAAAATGCACCGTCCCACACTAGCGAGCAACCTCTGGAGATAACGGTAAAGACCGAAGCTAGCCCCAGTCACTAAATCCTAAACCCATGATAACCAGTTCAAAGTCGTTAAACACCAAGAGCACTGTGCATCCTAAAGCTCTGCGACAATCCCGTGCAGCCCTTACCAAACCCTATAGCAGCCCTTGCAAAAGCTGCGTAAGTCCCTGTCGAAATCTCCAAAACGACCACCCAATACTTTCATGTCAATCCTCTGTAGTCTTCTATTCTAGTTTCTGATCAGCAGCCCCTATTAAAAGAAACTAGGACCAAGGGAAACCTAAACCGTTAAACCCTGAAGCCCAAGAACCCCGAAGACCACCAACACCAAGAAAGCACTGAACAAACAAAGTGCACGTTCCCGGGATTGACGGGCGCCTCTCCACAAGCAAGCGCAGCACCTCGAACACTGTCCAAAGACTGAACGCAAAGAGTGTTTTCCAACAGATTTTAACGTGGTTTTGATTTCGCTGCTGTAGTACAGGGGTATCATCAGTGCAAGAAGTGGCCAAACCTCTTGCACCTCCAACTTGCAAGGAAAAACTCGCAGACCCCTGCCTTCGATGTTGTCCAACTCTCCTCTAACATCACACCCACCCCTTCCACCAGTGTCCAATATTCAACTCCGTCTTCGAACCCCGGCCCGGAAGCACGGCTCTGAAACCCAAACAGCGTCAAACATTGCACCGCTACCTCCAAAGAAGCTGCTCCTTGGCAGAAGCCTCGAATGGCCACTATGGGTCCTTCTTGCCAATCACATAAAAAACCGCCTGCCGACCAAGGCGTCATCCGCAGCTACCACAACACTTGCCACTACTACTACTACTACTACTACTACTACTACTACTACTACTACTACTACTACTACTACTACTACTACTACTACTACTACTACTACTACTACTGCTAGTGCTACGACTGCTACGACTGGACCTCGCCTATCCGCCGCCCGACTCAGACTCCTGGACTCCTGCAACCCTGAAGGTCCTCTTAAAAGCACTAGGAAGCCCGGAAGACCCTCGTAAAGCTACTAAGACATCCTTATATAATCCTCCTATACAACCCTTACAAGACATATAACATATGAGTCGCTGTAAATCCCTCGAAATACTCCGCCTCCGTTCGCCCATGCCGTGCTGCCCAGTGCGCGGGCCCGCGCCCATCGCGGCGGCAGCACCTCAAAGCTGGCGGTCGCAGGCATTGTATGGGTGGTTGTCAAAATTAGGGTCCCTGTTTGGGTCCTTATTATAATACGGCACCTAATATTTAGGGTACCCAAGATGGGACCGTAGTTTTGACAATCACCCAGGCCTTCAAATGGCCTCATGAGGTTCTCTGGAGGCTTCATGGGATAGCCTTCAAATGCTCGTGTAAGGGTCTCATGAGGATGTCATATTCTATACGGCTCCTACGGGTTCTGGGAGTTGGGGGTGCGTGATACTTGCAACATGAGATAACCTACCGACCTGCGGAAATGTAGGCTTTTGGGTTCCAGGCGAAACTCTACATAGAAGTTGCGAAAGCTTCCTCAGAGGGCTTTTGCGAATCGAGCAGACGTGGGGCGTTCGGGCGGTCGAACTTCTTGGATCTTTCTGCGTACTTGGAAGTTGGGACTACAGTAGGGAGATGGTCTGAGATGGTGTTAGGCCTGATAGATGTCGGGCTTACGCCTTCTAGGGCAAGCTCACCTCGTGGTGCACCAGGAAATCTCATTTTCGGTTGGGATTATAGTCTGCTAAGCTGGACTTTATACGAGTCATATCGGCTTTAGCGGTTTCGGGCTTTGGGGTACTCTGGCCCAGATCGTGTTCCTAATCCTCAACAGTCAAGGTTTAGGGTTTAGGACCACAAGTGCCTTTTTAGGATGGCCTGCGAGCAAAGCCATTTCCGTCGGAGACCCATCCAGAAACCCGACAACCGAATTTCCCAACCCCCAGACTACAAACCTCGCCACACCTTAAACCCCATATTTTCAAAACTAAACCTAAGGACCCAAGGGCCCAAACCCTGAAACACTTCGAAAGGTGGGTATTGACAACTCTTGCAAGAAAACCAAAACTTTAGCACCACAAGCCACGCAAGACTTACAATGACTTACACGACCTGATAAGTAACATGAAACCACTCTGAACCGGCTAGAACAACCCTACGAAACCCACAGCCTACACCCTAAAGAGCCCGAGCAGCCAAACCCTAAACGCCCCTCAACCATGTGCTAGCGCCCTGGCAGACCCCTTAAAAAAAACAACCCTTAAACTCCATGCCTTAGAAGCTGCCCCCACCCGGTAATAGTGACTATGAGGATTGTGTTGGGGCCCGAGAAAATTTGTTATACCACTATTACGGGGTGGGGGCCCCTTCTAATCCATTCCCCTTACAAGGTAGGCAACACGGGACAAGTTCTTGGAGATCCCTTCACAAGAAACCATAAGCTAACACAGCAAAAACCCAAAACAAGTAATCTTCCAGCGACCGAAAAGGGAGTTTCCGAAAAGGGCGGACCCTGATTTGGTACCCTAACTTCGTAGGATCCTTGTTATAAGGACCCCAAAATAAGGTACCCCTACTTCGGAAACTCCCAACAGAACGGCCTTATAGTAAAGGAACCGTGCATCTGAAGTTAAAAAACCCTAAGCCCAGTCCAACCGCTGCAGAGAAGATCCGAGGTGCTGGATGCCTTCTGCCAGGGGCAGCCTCGGAGAATCAGAGGCTTTAGACTATACCTGGACCCTAAGGAACCTACCTTTCTAGGGTTCCCTAATATGATTTCTTTATACAAGTCCTCAAAAAGGTAGGTTACTTGGGGTTAAGTAGGTTCTTGTTGAGGAACTTGCTCTAAGTTACCATAGTAAGGAAAACCTACGATGAACCCCTAGTACGGTATCTTAAACTAAGTTCTGGGACAACAGCCCGGTAGACTTCACAGTGTGGGATGTGATCGTTCTACTGCCTCAATGCGTGTTAGTGACAGGGGTGGAGTTTAGGGATTTATCGGGTTCTGGTGCATTGGGTTTCGCGGGGAGTTGATGTACTTGGACGCTTTTGTGGGGTAGGCTTCGGGCACAAAGGGAAGCCTCGGCGGCAGGGGTTTAGGTTCAGGGCATCGCCATGTTTCGGGCGTAACGTTTTCCTGAGGCAGAGTCTTGTGTGTTGCAAAACTTTACAGAGTCTGGCGCGTTCAGTGTTCACGGCTTTGGGCCTTGTGATTTTGCTAAGTTCGGTGCGGAGTTAGAGACTTTGAAATTAGCCTTTCGATTTTGGACTGGGTCTGCGGTTTGAGGCTTTAGAGGTCTGGAGAACAAAATGCAGGGCTATAACTACGAATTATCGTGATGTCGGGATCACCTTGGGTTCAGATTTGGTGCTCCCTTACCTGGCAACCATCTCTGCAAACTCTCGATAGTTCGAGAAAAGCACCACAGTTGTGAGGCGCTTCCCAAAACACTAACCCATCAAAACCCAGGCTAAACACCCAACTCGCCTTATGGATCCCTTATAGTAACCCTTTTAGATCCCTTATAGTAACCCTTTTAGATCCCTTATAGTAACCCTTATATATCCCAAAAACCCCAAAATATGCCCATAGCAAACCCAGGAAGATGAATCACGAAAAAGAGCCGACTACACACACGCCAAAGCCCTTACAAAAATCCCTTAGAAGCTGCCCCCACTCTGTAATAGTGACTATAAGGATTATATTAGGGCCCTATTATATTCCTATTATCCTACTATTACAGGGTGGGGGCAGCTTCTAAGAAATCCCCCTTTTCGAACCCTTGTAGAGCTGCGTTTTGCACCCTCAAAGATCCTAAGGTTCAGCCGGCGACTGAGCCCGAAAGGATCAAACTAGCATTATTCGTATTAATGGTAGTATTAATAGTTTATAGTATTATTAGTCGTATAATAGTATCTTTGAATATTGTTTGTATTCTATTAAATTAGTATCTGCTTTGCGGCGAAGCTTCAGCAACTCCACGACCTCCCTGTGCCCAGCTCCGGCAGCCCAGTCCAAAGCCTAACGGCTGAATGCCGCGATAAAGATATTACCGGATGAGTTTGCTAGGGTTCGAATGAGTTTAGTGGTGTGCTGTAGGGATTGATGGGTATAAGACTCGGCATTACAGTTTCATTCATTACCTTTGATATCTATATGGACTAGAAGAGGGATATTATGGTGTAATACACTGTAGCTCAAATCAGGACCCTGTAAGAAAAATATTGTAACTAGTCAAGTTTCTCGATTACCAATCGGGTTCGCGTTAACGAGCTTGATTGAAACCACCGAATCCAACGATTTCCGTTCGAACTGCAACAAGCGGCGCGTACTCCCTAAACAGTCTTTTGAATATTCATCCGTTTGCAGGTTGGGGGTTCGGGGTTTTGGGATTGGATAACGAGAAGACGGCTTTGGGGCTTTTGTCCAGGAATCGTTTGCAGCGCTCAGGGTTCAGGTTTACGGCTTAGGCTTAGGCTAAACACCCTCGGCGATGCTGCTATCTGGAGCCACGTCGCAGATGCGCCGTTGTGGTCCTGCGAGCTGGATTGCTCTGCGCACCCTGGACACCCAAACGAACCGGTTAATGCAGCTAACCTCATCTGTAGACAAGATGAGAAGCCAACCGAATACCAACAAAAAGATAAGACATAGCATTTCAAACTACAACTGATAGTAGTGGCCATGACCTGGGATATGTGCCTTTGGGAACTTCAGGGTGGATCTTCATAGGGCTCAGGTATAGCTTGATTTTGGTGTCGGTTGCTGGCCACACAGGGGCAGCTCCCCATCTTAGGAAACCCATTTAGGCCAGCCTTAGCCGTAAATCCTAAACTCCCAATCCAAAACAAGCCCTATAAACCTTTCTATCCGGGCTGGCAGAGCTATACAGTAATTGCTACTCCTCCGCCCCACCCCGCCCACCCAGCAAGTCCAGCGACTCGGCGTCAAACGGCCGCCAGCCATCCGACAACAGCTCCCTGAGCCTCTCGGTGCGTAAGGTCACGTTCTAAGAGGGTTGTCATAATAAGGCCCACAATGAGGGTTTAGAAGCTTGTTTGAGGGTTCCCATAAAGTCTACTACAAGGGCGACATAAGGGCTACTGCAAGCCGTAATTACAAAACTGGCTGCGACCACGCGGGTAATGAGAGAGGTTTACAGGAAGAGGACTTTCGGTTAGGGTATTGGAGAGAAGGAGACAACACTGAAGAGTCTGGCTGCCGTTCAGCAGGACGAGTCGGTTGACTTCTTGTTGCAGTTTGTAAGAACAGGCTTCCGACCAAGCGAAAGAAAGTGGAAGCACTGCCAAGGCGACTTGCTGGGTTCTCGTTAAGGGATTAAATAGGGGTATATATATATGTACATATATATATATATGATATAAAAAGTAAATAATATGGTTTCAGTATTATGGTAGCCTAGAGTAAATCACTTAACAAGAACCCAGTGTTTGTCAAGGCGGCCTCAGCAAACCCACCCGATCCGGAGCAGACACTTGCGAGGCCTGCTCGCGAAGGTCTGCGAACCGCTAGTACCCGGGCCTCCTAGACCTTAAAAACCCAAACCCTAAGCCCCTTTATAGAATCCCTATAGATCCCTTTAAGGAACCCTCCTCCCAAGAAACTTTAGCATCCAGTTTCTTAACTCCCGGCGCTGGTTTTTCCTTCATCTCAAAGCTCATAGTAAGTATAGTTTTCAAGGCTTATGTAGAATTATAAGGCAGCCAAAACGAGGAACTCCACTATAGAACCACTCTCAAACCCCAAACCATGACCTCAGAACCCTTACAACCCGTTTAGGAACACAAAAACCTGACAAGCGCCTTAAGCCTAGTAACCCTTATAGAAGCCTAAACCCCTACCCAAAACCGTCGTCAGAACTCGAGGGTCCCCAAACCCAAAACCCTAACCGGTCTGGAGTTTGGAACCCATATAAAGCCACATAAATCTCACCCCCGAAACCATTTTGCAAAACTTTGAAGAAGCCTTACAGATAGTAGACCTGTATGTTGAGTCTGTTGGAGCCGTCCTTGAGCCATTCTAAAACCTCAAAACTCCGAACCCTCAACGCAGAACATTGATAAAGAGGAATCTTTATAAAGGCCTTTTCGAAACCCGAAGCTCCTCCTAAAAACCCTAAACCCTAAACCCCTGAACCCCTAAACCCTAAACCCTAAGTGGCCCCGCGACCTTGGCACGTCGCCGCGGCGCGCGGCGTCCAGGCCCTGCTGTGGACGCTTTCGGGCTCCCGGGAGGGTTTAGGGCCGGGGTTTAGGGTTTTTTTGGCGGACTTGCATGAACCTGATCGGTGCGCGCCAAATTCAAACTGTACAGGCCGTGCAAAAGCGGCATAAGGAGCGGAGCTCCAAGCATCAGCTGTGGTGGAAACCGCAGCGATCTAAAGAGAGCACTAAAAGGCTCTAGACAAGAGAAGGTCGAAGCGTGGCCCACCACGGCGTTGGCCCCGCCACTCGCATTGGAGGGCGCCACTTTAAAGATCGCTCGCGGTTATGTTCTTTACGAAACATATATGTATTTAATAAAGAGCTGTATCTGTTTAGCAAGAGGATATATCCTGTTATTAAGTATGTATAAATGAATATAAGTCGTTTTAACTATTGCTAAACAACTTTAATACTTATGTTACTTATGAAAGTTGTGTATTTGTTTATCTAACCCACTGAAGTGCTACTAAGATTTACCCAACAAACTAACTGCTTACCTGCATTTAGCCAAATGATTAAGTAATGGTTTAGGCAAACTTAACAACTGTTTAGCTAAGTCCTAGAAGGGCTACTAACTAGTTAGCATATCCGGATTTAAGTATTTAGCTAACTACCCGTGCGTTGTTTCGGACACACGTTTTCATGCCATGCTCACTAGATTCTACAGTAGGCGAACATGGCGATTTCTGGTTTTGTGAAAGCCATGCGGCTGTTTTTGAATTCCAAACGCCCTTCAGTTGCATCTAACAACCCTGCAGCTTGCAACTTGTCTCAAGGAAATTCCAAGGCTCCAGATCGAGGATTTGAGTTGTTGGATGCAGGAAGTTGACAGAAATGGAGATGTAACTCCGAGGACATGGCAAAGCATTCGGACATGTTGCCAATTGCGACATCCCGGTGGCTCAATTTCAGGAGCAGCCATCTGGCTGTCATGATATGCATGATCTGTAGTCAAGCCGTCTGGCTGTTTAGTGTAGGTGCGAGCCTGAAGGCTGTCCATGTACCATGCATATTTGTTGCTGCTGTTGCATGGAGAATGGTGATCGCAAGTGCAGCAGCACATTCTGGCACAGCTGGTATCTGCGATTGGGCATGTGTGCATTCTCGAAGTTTTGCAGAGCCGACGGCTTGCAGGATGGCAGTACGGCCCTTAAGTTCGGGGCCAGAGAGAAAAACAGCAGGTAAGGACATTCGCCATGCACTATATCATGTTTCTATATAGTACACTTCCAGCAGGACTGCTCCAGTACTCCTGGACCATGCAGAACCTTTTCGCAAGCACAAAAAACTCCTGCCGCCTTTAGCAACCGTGCAAAGCTTCACTTCCGGAAGCATCATGGACGTCACTCCCGAGCTGCAAAAAGCCGTGCAGGCTGTGCTCGATGACACATCCGTCCCGCTACTCAGCCGGTGGCAGCGAGTAGCTGACAAGTTGGTCGAGGGTGGACTGGCATGGCGGGCGAAGTTGCAAGCGAGCAGCATGCTGGTCCACAACCACAACAGGGGCGGTCTCGGTGTCAGTGGACATGGGTGCCACCTGAAAGGCGAAGCCCTGGCCAAAAGCGGCTTCGACATGAAATTCCTCCATTCAGCTGTCTGTTGCTTGGCTGCTCTGAGTTTGTTGTTTGCAAGTATGACAAAGCGGTGTATCTGCCCATTTGCTGCATGAGGTTTCGAGATCAGCCACGAGCCGAGCCGACTGGCTGAACAGCTGGAGTTCAACCGTAAGTTGGTGGAGCAAGCCTCCGGGCTCTTGGCGCCGCTGCAGGGTGCAGAAAGATACTTGTCCGTGAGTTGCGGGCACACAACTCAGTTTGTGAAGGCCGTCCTCTGCAGCTGCCAGACACCCGTGCTGTCTCTCGCCGACCAGACAGGCCGACTGAACAGGGAGGCCCTGGGCAGAGATAGCCATCTGAATGAGATGCTCTCCGAAGGGTGGACTTGGCTGGTGATTAGCTCTCGGGCTGAGTCCGCCTTTCCGCAGCTGCCTTCATTGGCCGAAAAGGCAATGAACAGCTCCAACTCAGCTTTCACGGCGACGATGGAAGTAGAGAGCATGCTTCATATGCAGGAGATCATGCAGAAGCAGATCGCTGAGGGCAAGGAGATCGATGTTGAGGCCGTCGCCTCCGAGGTGGTGCCTGTTGGGACGACATTGATGCAATACTCTCCGTTTTTGTGCCGATGGCTCGAAAAGTTCAGCGACGGCGGAAAGTTTCTCACCCAGTTCCTTTCGCCGTTTAGCCGAGAGCATGGAGGCAACTGTAATCTGGGAGAAGATTTTTGGGCCATGGCCGCAGGCAGAGGCACTTTCGCTGGCAATGCGGCAATGCCAATGGTTCGGCTGGCCATGCTAGCGACCAACTATGCAGCTCCTGGGCACAAGATGGTTGACGGCTATGCGAAGCTGATCGTCCAGGCTGACTGGACCAAAATGAAAAGCGCCAAATTTCAGCCGAAGGTGAATGAGATGGAGCAGCAGCTCTACGAGTGCTGGCGAGTGGCAGAGAAGGAGCTTCCGAGCTTGGACTCGGTCCGCACCTTCGGCAAGTGCTGCATTCGCATGGCACTCCATGTGCTCCAGAAAGAGTCGCTTGATTCGTTTGATTTCTTGGTTTGTTGTGCATGCTGGCATTCTCAAAACATCTGACGACCCCTATAGCCTAAAGAGAGAGACCTCTAGATTGGTCAACATTTGAGGAAGATGGGTCGAGAGGCCAAGACGTACAAGTCCCTTGCGGAGATCCGGGCACTCTTCAATGACCAAATGGCTGGGGTGGCTGCTGCCTTGTCACCGCTACAGCAGAAAAAAAATGCAGGAGCCAGTGTGGCTAGCTTGAGCGAGAACTACGACCCCCTCTACCAAGCGATGCAGCAAATCAAGCTGGAACTTGGCATGCACTACATCATGGAGGACAGGATGTGGAAGCTCGTAGCTATGTCATCGGCCACTTTGTCTCTAGAGCTTTGCGATCTCCTTGAGGCGGAGAGCAGGGACATCCCGACGGTGAAGGCGGTCAAGCTCCTCAAGGCCACGAAGCAATCAGCTCCCGAGCTCTTGCCGGCTACAATCTGCAAGAACAGGGATGTGCAGCACCTGTTTGCTATGGAGGCCATGCAAGCCGCTGCCTGGGTTTATTTGCTGAAACAGGCGGAGAAGTACGACAAGTTGTGGAACTACATTTGCTTGGATGGCACAGGCAAAAAAGCTTACACTTCTGTGAAGATTCCCAAAGGCGGCCTCATGCTGGTTCCCTCGACAGATTCGCCCCACAAGCTGGTTCAAAAGGAGCCCGATAAGAAAAAGCCATACGGCTTCTTCAAGTTCGGAGGGACGGATTTCTATATCCTTCCACCCGCCATTTATCGAAAGGGTGACGGCTTGGCGAAGCCAGACACTGGGAGCACGTGTGCTTACTGGTGGGTGCAGAGGGGCCAAACAGCAGGGTCGCAGGATCCATGCTGCATGGAGGAGCACGAGTGGCAAGTGGGCAAGAACAACATGATCGTCGTGCTCCAGAACTCCGTGCCGATGGAGAAGCACACCCTCCTCACCATGGAGGTGGAGGAAGAGGAGGAGCAGAATAGTCGACCTGCGAAGAAGGCCAAGAAGTGAAGAGCCCTCGAAGGGGCTGCAGATGTTGCAGGAGCTGAGTAGAAAGCTTCTGTCTATGCAGTCGCAATCGTATGGGTAACCTTGTCGGTTGAAGAAGATTGCAGATATTTCATGTCTGAGTACATCAGTTCTATAGCTCTGCAATCCAAATCGTTTAATCAACCTTTTCGCCTCAAGCGGACTGCACATGCTTGATTAGCCTCTGGCTCTGCAGTCTGAACAAAATTTTCGCCCTGCAGGCTCGCATTCGCAATGTTGTGCAGCATAGCAGTTCTAATCAAGCCGAATGCCTATACATCAATTTATGTGTTGATCAGCTCTTAAGCTTTGCAGCCCTGCAGAAGCTTTCTCAGCTGGGATCTCAAGAAACACCGGCGCCGAGGGGAAGAGAAAAGAAAAGTTACAGCAGGTGCATCTGCATGAGTAAAGCTGAAAACGAGCCTCTGTGTGAAACCATAAAAGCTGTGCGGCTGAGGTCCTCCTGCTTTTGAGTTTTGCCTTCGGGTTGAGTCGCAGTCATGGTGAGTGTGGAGAGGCAGTATGCATTGTCCTTTGAGAAGACTGGCCGAAAGTGGGTGGTGCCAAGCTCCTTCGTGCACGAAGACCGCTGGTTGCAATTGCGACCTACTTGCTACGGCCTCTGCAGCCTGCTCGGTGCACCGGGATCCACCAAGAATCCCAGCCTCCGGGCTTGCAAGGGCTTGTCATGGCTGCAGGCAGAGCGGAACAAGATGCTGAAGCTGCTTCCACAGTCTGACGACTTGTTCGGAAGCGATCAGCAGCTTTCGAGCTCTAGTTCGAAGAAGTGTTAAAGAACGGGCTTCACTAAGGGTTCCTACCCACAAAGACTGTCGGACACTTTTGTTCCTGGGCACGGTGTGTCCTGGGGTCTCGAGCCTGCACGTCGCGTGTGCGTGACGGCTGTTCCTGTACATTAACTGTACTGCACTAGCTGTGTTACTGTTCCTGGCAGAATGTTTAACACCCCGCCTTCGGAGTTAGCGAAAGTTCCTCGACTGAGGTGACTCCGACTTTTCCTGACAAACAGTAAACACGCTGCAGTTCCTTTTCACTTGCAAAACAAACACTGTTCCTCATTGCAAACGTATGCGCACGTTCACTCGCAATCCTCTCCAAGGTTGCTCGACTGTACAAAAGACGTTCCTGCACTTTACCTAGATCACCACAGAAACAAAAAGGGCTGTGCCACGGTTCCTGTGTCCTGCTGCTTCTTTCCTCGGCTCTCTGGCCTCAGTACTGCTCGCGGTTCCTTTGCTTCACTGGAAGTTCACTTTGCCTTCCTCTTCGCTGTCTTTAGCTTCCTCTTGGTCGTGAAGCTGTTCCTTTAGCCACTCTTCTTTCATCTTTGCTTGCGCTTTGCACT